TTATTTCTAATTTTACATTTGTTTTGTTGGCTTGTTCTCATAGTGTTTTCCTGAATTCTTCTAAAGTTTGTTTTTTGTGTTTTCTATGATTTCATCTGTAGTTTAGGAATATTTCTCTCAATTCATTGAACAAGTCTACATACCACTCGTTTGAATTCATTATCAAGTAGTTCCAATGCCATCTCTTCCTGAAAAAAGGTCTTCTGACTCTACATATTGGTCACTTGTTTGGGCCACTCTGTCTTCTTTCTTCCTATGAACTAAAATTTTCTTTTGTCACCAAGACATTGTGGTGGTATGGTATTTGTACTTCATGATTTTGTGTGAGTAAAACCCTAGTCACTCACCACCTGTCTGTTAGTAGGTGTAACAGAGAATGTGAATGTATGCACAATTTTTTGTGGTTCACACAGCCAAGTTGAAGGCCATTGCTGGTGTGTTCAGGTATCACAATAATCAGTTGGTGCAAGAGCGGGTCATGGCCTTCTCCCAAGAGGTGTGGCCATAGAATGTACAGATGTGGCTGGGATGGTTGGACATGGTTGCTGTCTCCCATTGGAGAGGGTGGTGGTGGTGGCGAATAAAAACAAGAGAAAATAAATAAAAACAATCAGCCCCCCAAGTAAGTAATTAAACAGCAAAACCAAAACTAAGAAACAGGCAAATAGCAAGAAAGAAAAGAAAAGAAGAATGAAAACAAAGGCAGAGAAAATACAGTAAGCAAAACTGGGAGGTGGTGGGGAACAGACAGGGAAGAGAGTCACTAGGAGGTGGGGTGTCACAAGGCACTGGGTGGTGAGGACAGTGTCACCAGGACAGTATGGGGAGCAAGGAAGGGTCTGGTCTTTCCCACTGCCTGCCACTGGTGTGCCCTGCTGCTATCGGAATGAAGTGCTGCGTGCAGAAGCTTACGTTGATCAGACTAGCCAGCATTCACCTTTGTCTCCTCATTCAGCTTCTCCCAGTCAGGATTCAGTCCACTTCTCTGTCTTACTCTGCAGCTCGGGCTTCCAGGTTTCATTGGGTCTCTCGCTTCTTGGATGTCGAGGGTCTGCGTCCCTTGTGTGCCTGCTTGGCCATCTTGCTGGAAGTTCATTTGCCATTTGATTGCATTGTCACTGCAAACCATATGAGCTTGTTGTTAGAGGCACAGAAACTGTCTCCATAGGAACGAACGTACACATACCTCTTTCCATCAGCATTCCCTGCAGCACAAGTCTCCTGCGGCAGTAGCAAAGCGACTATGCAGGCTTCAGATCGTCAAGTGCAAGTTAACGCCCAGGCTCGAGGCAGACTGTGTGTCAAAGGTGTCACCTGAGAGGGCTGTCTAGAAGGTGGGATGCCCGATGTAAAAAAAAAAAAATTTTAAGTTTATCAATAATGTGCCTATAGTTCTAATACTATTAATAAACAAGACTATTTTGTGCAAACCATGGTATTTTCAATTGCCTCTGTGCATATGAACATTGGACATTGAATAAGAATCGGTTTATTTGAATTGTAATGCTGACAAACAATACTGAAAGTACCATGGGCTGCCAAAAACAAACAAATCTTTTTTTTTTCTTTAAGCATTTTACTGGGGGCTCATGCAGCTCTTATCAAAATCCATGCTTACTTCCATTGTATCAAGCACAGTTTTACATTTGTTGCCATCATCATTTTCAAAACATTTTCTTTTTACTTGAGCCCTTGGTATTAGCTCCTCATTTTTCCCCTCCCTCCGTCCCTCCTTCCCAAACCCTTGATAATTTATAAATTGTTGTTATTTTTTCATGCCCTACACTGACCAATGTCTCCCATCACCCATTTTTCTGTTGTTTGTCCCCAGAAGGGGGTTATATGTAGATCCTTGTTCCCCTTTTCTCCCCCAAATTCCCCCTCCCCCCCTGGTATCACTACTCTTTATTGGTCCTGAGGGGGTTATCTGTCCTGGATTCCCTGTGTTATCTTATCTGCTCTTATCTGTACCCGTGTACCCGCGCTCTGGTCGAGCTGGATTTGGAAGGTAGAATTGGGATCATGATAATGGGGGTGGATGGGCAGGGAGGAAGCATTAAAGAACTAGAGGAAAGTTGTATGTTTCATCAATGCTATACTGCACCCTGACTGGCTTGTCTCTTCCTGGTGACCCTTCTGTCTCCACTCTGCACTCCCCCTCATTCACATTGATAAGATTTCTTGTTCTGTGTCTTTGATGCCTGATACCTGATCCCGTCGACACCTCATGATCACACAGGCTGGTGTGCTTCTTCTATGTGGGCTTTATTGCTTCTGAGCTAGATGGCTGCTTGTTTGTCTTCAAGCCTTTAAGACCACAGACACTATATCTTTTGATAGCCGGGTACCATCAGCTTTCTTCACATTTGCTATGCACCCGCTTTGTCTTCAGAGATCGTGTTGGAAAGGTGAGCATCACAGAATGCCGGGTTATTAGAACAAAGTGTTCTTGCATTGAGGGAGTACTTGAATAGAGGCCCAATGTCTGTTTGCTACCTTAATACTTAACATATAAATGTATGTACGTAGTTATTTCCCTATCGTTATATGTATATTTACATATGTACATGCCTGTATTGGACCTCGAAATGCTCATTTGCTTCCTAGTTCTTTCCTCTAGGTCCCTTTACTTTCCTCTTGTCCCACTATCATGTTTGACCTTCATTTGGGTTTCAGTAATTCCTCTCAGTTACATTGTCCAAAACAAATCTTTTGTCTTGGAAGATGTATGACCAGAGCTCCTTAGAGGCAAGGATAGCAAGACTTCATCTTACAGCCTATGGGTATGTTTTCAGGAGAGACCATTCCCTGGAGAAGGACATCTCCTCCCTGGGGATGGACAACAGAAAAGTGGGTGAAGGGAGACGTCAGACAGTATAAGATATGACAAAACAGTAATAATTTATAAATCCGCAAGGGTTTGTAAGGGAGGGAGAGTGGGGAGGGAGGGTGGAAAATGAGGAGCTGATATCAAGGGTTCAAGTAGAAAGCAAATATTTTGAGAATGATGATGGCAACAAATGTACAAATGTGCTTGACACAATGGATGGATATATGGATTGTGATAAGAGTTGTATGAGCCCCAATAAAATGATTTAATTAATAAAAAAGAAAGAGGAAGGCCCTCCAGGAGATGGATTGGCCCAGTGGCTGCAATAGTGAATTCCAGCATAGGTACAATTGTGAAGGTGGCGCTGGCCTGGGGTGTTTCCTCCGGTTGTGTGTGGAGTCACTATGTGCCGGAACCAACTCTATGACGCCTAACAATATGCACAGGCTTGTGTGCAACAGTGTTTCCATGGGGGGAAACACACACACACACACACACACACACAAAGAGTTTCCTCTTGGAGAGCTAAAGACATTTTTCTCACATTAGAATCTTCAGAAATGCTCGCATGCAGAACAGGTGGTAGCCCTCCAGACCTGTGAGGGGGATTGATGAGCAAGAGGAGAGAGGAGTGCAGTAAGTGGAGCTGGGTCCAAAGGGGACCTAAAGATCTGTGGACCACAGGAATAAAGCCAAAGGGGAAGGGAAGTCAGTGAGGCATCTCTGGGGTCCCCCAAGCTCCCAACTGGTCTTGCCCCACCCCCACTGTGAGGATGGGGAGGACGAGGGGGCCACATCTGACCCTCTCTGGTTTCCCTGTCCCCATGAGGCAGGGCTCATCCTTCTTTTCCTGATTCTGACACCAACCATTTCCCCCACCGCACACTCCCGCCACCCTGGGCTCCATAATTCACCACAGTGGCTACGTGGAGCGCGGGGACCATGCTCACAGTTATGGGCTCCCTAGGGAGGGTCAGGCACCAGTAAGGATACAGTCACTGGTCCACAGCAGCACCTCCCTCAGCCAGTAGCCAAGTCCCTCTGCAGTCCTCAGCCTCTCTGCCACGTGGTCCCTTGGCCTCCCACTCTGTGGACTAGGAAGCCTGCCTGTCTCTCAGCCTCAGTCCCACCGTCTTGTCACTGCTCCCTGCTCATGCATGCTTCGCGTACCTCGGCGTCAGGTCTGACCCCGACTCCACTGCTGTATCCCCTGGTCCCCGTGCCGCAGCCTCTGCTGCCTCCGGTCTCGTCTCCACCACTGCTGACTGCCCACAGGGACCCGGAGCGTGCTCCTCCTCCTGCTTCCTCTTCCTGGAGTTCCCTGTGTGCACGACATGGCTCTTTTTCACAGACGGATGGAGGTGGAGGTTTCGTCTTTCAGTCAAAAGAGAACTCCCTCCCAAATGGGGTTCTAGCCAGGAGCATGGAGCCCAGAATTATAATTCATCACATAAGGAATTATGGCTCGAAGGGCTTTATTGATTGACTACATCCCCTCACCCCACCCAGGGTCTTTTCTCATCTCTAGGGCAGGTAAGTCCCTGTTGACAGATTCCGTTTCTTCTTCTGACCCAGAGATAGTGCTTGCCTTCTATGTGTTTAGCTCTGCCACTCAGGGCTTGCTCTGCGAAACTGGGCACTGTTGACCTATTGGGGTGCATCCGCATGCTGTTGGCGCAGGGCTGTTTGTGACTGTGGTTAGCATCATCCCTAGGCTCCAGGCACGAGCTGCGAGACAGCTCCAAGTGCTCCTGGAAGGGCCCAACCCATCCGTCCCCCCTCTCCGTCGAGCACCTGGAACCTGGGCTTAAGCAAAAATGTAAATGAATAGAACTTGATTTCGCCCACCAATGTGCCTGTGCCTCCCACGCGGCTGGCCCAGCCCTAGGCCCTGGCGGCTTCACAGTACTCTAAGGCCAGGTGTTCTTGAAGCTCTGTTCCCCTGGGGAGAGGTGGGCGGTGCTCTCAGAATGTGCACCCCTTCCGAAGAAGGGGGCAGTCAGCCAGCAAGGCCCTTTCTCAGACGGTGACATCTGTAGAGTCGTGAGAGAAAAGGGGCGTGAACCGCACGAGAGGGCCCACCAAGGACACGTTGTAAAGGCTCGGGGCGCAAGGACGTGCCCTCGCCCAGGCACCTGCACGTCTGACCACACACTCCTTTGTGTTTCAGAGGCTCCTCCGTAGAAGGGCTGCCGAATGGACTCCAGAGCAGCCTTAACTCCGCCGCCCTCGTGCCCTCCACCAGCTCCGCAGGTTAGTGGGTCCCCTCGGCCACCGCAGAAGACAGTTGCAGTTCTAAAGCCAAAGTACCCAGCCTTTTGACATAGTGGCAAGTGGGTACTTTCTTCTCTCTCCCTTAAGATGATATTGACCAGTTAGGCTAGAAGGGTTTCCTGGAACTGGCCTGGGGTCTTGGAAAGGTCCCCGTCTGGGGGAGTGCTGCCAAATACCACCCGGTCTGCAGCATTTCAGAGGAAGTCACTCGGCTGCCTGGTGTTCCACTGTCAGCAGAGTGGACCTTCGTGTCCTTCCTCAGGAATCGAAGTGGACAGGAAATCGCCGGTTCCGAGTAACGCACTTGTGTGTGTGTGTGTGTGTGTGTGTATCACGTGGAGAGAGGCACACGCTGGCCACTGAGGAGCCGGCCCTGTGTGCAGGAACGTGCTCACCGCTAGGGAGCATTGAGGCTCCAGAGGCAGAAGTCCCGAGGGAGTGTGCTGCAAGGTGGGCCCGTGACAGGGAGGTGCAAAGACACCCTGCTCGGCTGCTAGCAGAAAGCAAAGCTGCAGGTTCGAACCCTCCCAGTGGCTCCACAGAAGGAGGGCTGGTCACCTGCTTCGGTGAGTGTTGCAGCCTGGAAACCCTGCAGGGACGACGTGCGGCTCTCTCATGCGGGCTTGCTGTGAGGTCAAAATCGACTCGACGGCTCACAGGGGCACAGAGACCGCGCGTCGACACCCTCTGGCACCCTTGTGTGTGGCGGGCACAGGTCGGCATGCTCTACAAGTCATAACTGACCTGGCCACAAGACAGACATGCGACATAGGAAGCACCGTTCCCGTGTAACACCAAGCTAAGGAAACGAAGACACAGACACATGGTGAAATGTGTCTGGGTCTCACAGCTCGTTGATGCTGGGGCAGGATGGGGACCCAAGCACTCTAGCCCGGCACTTTCCCGGGGACTGTGAAGGCCCATGATCAGCAACAGCGCGGGGGTCAGAGGAAAGACTGTGCAGCCGGGAGGCCCAGCCCGTGTGCCGTGCAGGGAGGAACTTGGGCTTTATCTGGAGAGCAAGAGGGAGCCATTGAGTTTTAAGGTTGTGAGTAAAGACCTCTGCGAAGCCCAGTTCCTCTTCTGTGTCGTGAGCTAATTACATGTCAGCTTCGTGTGCGGATCACGTGAAGTGATGTATGCGGAGGGCGCAGGGACCCTCGCCAGTCCAGTTCGTCCTATGGTAAGAACTGAAAGGGTTCCTTCTCCTCTCACACTAGCCCCTGGGTGGACCTCTTTCCCCAGAAAAGAGAGCACGAGGCCACGGTAGTCATTTCATCCTTGACTTGTTGTGGTCTGTGGAGCGGAGGCTAAGCGAATCCAGCTCCTTGGAAAGGTTTCAGCGAGACTCGGCTGCTAACGCCCCTCTGCTTCTCAAGATGGTTCAGCGGGAGTAGGCTGCTCACCTGCAGCGTCAAAGGGAGCCCACAAACCCAGCCTAGTGAGTTTTCGTGTTGAGTTGATCGCTTCAGTACTGAATTGAACCCACTGCACGCACTTTGGCTGCAGAAGTTTGAGGGGAGTTGGCAGCATCTTCCTGTGAGTTCCTATTTACGGGCTGTTGGTGTTGAGTCATCCACCCTAAATCTGGTATCAGCATCAAACGGCAGGGGAAGGGGAAGCCGTGGATCCCTTTGTTAAACAAGAACATCAAGACGTGACATGTCCTCCATCTCGACACATCCTCCACCTAGGTTTATATTCTTCTAAAAGTGTCCCCAACTCCCCCACCCTTCCCGGGAACATTCTGGGTTCTTCCATTGACACCACATGGAAATGGAAGGTGTGGCATCTTTCAGGGAATCTGACCCTGTTCCTTTGAAACGTCCTTTGATTTGGAGGAAGAGGAAGACGTGTGAAGCGGCAGTATCGGGCTGTGGGTCGATGGGTAAGGTTTCTGAATGAAATTCTCTCCGGACAGCCCTTGCCACCCGCAAAGAAGGAGCAGGTGCGCCGGCCTGATGGGAAAAGATTCTTCTGTGCAACTTTCCTGGCCCTCCCCAATACAGGTTTCTATTTTCTTCAGTTTCTTCTTAATAAGCCCCCATGATTCCGTCGTGTCCTCTGAGAACGTTCTATCAAGATGACCTCTTCAAAATTCCCCAAACAGTGACCTTAGCCTTCTGAACTGACCTCACTTGCTCTGTCTCCAATTTTGCTAGCCCAGTAAATCTCCTCAGAGGCCACTGTTCGGAAAACTCAAAGCCAAACTCTGCCATCACATCAATCTGACTCCTAGTGACACTGTAGGACAGGGTGGGACTCACCGTGTGGGTTTCTTTTGGGGAATAGCAAGCTGTTGGTTTTAAGCTGGTGACCCTGCAGTTAAAGCACTCCACCGCCAGGCCTCCTCCTGGTTTGGATGGGAATTTTTTTTAAAGAAACCTTAATGAGACTAAGACAAATGTGTTACTGAGAAACCTTGGGGTGACTCTCCACGAATCACAGACAGGCTCAAACACATTGTGTTTGCAATAAGCCCGGGCCTGTGTGACCTGGAACCCCAGTCAGAATGCTTTTTTACTTGCCCTCAGACCCTGAGCTTGTGAGCAAGGAAAGACACAGGGAGCCCGCCAGTTTGGAAATTTGAGAAGGACCTAGGGGGTGGAGGCCTGTGGCTCAAAGCTGACGCCATTGACCTTCCTGCTTCGTTACCCTGGCGTTCCTCTTGAGTTCTGAAGTTTGGCAGTGGTGAGCCCAGATAGCAAGGGGCAGCAAATCAGAGCTGACATTTCTCTGCATCTTTGATTGTGCAAGCCAATGGCTACCCTTCTCCCCTACCGAAGTCTTCAACCTGTCCTGGAGGGCACCCCTCGCCCCTGCTTTTCAAAGGTGTTTTGGTGGGTTTTGTGAAATGAAGGGATTTATGTTGAAGAAATAAGAAGCAGCACCCTCATCAGATGTTTATGGTGTCAGGCCCTCTCCCCCCCACCCCCAGACAGGATGCACCTCAGCATTGGTGCTCTTTGGATGAGGATGGGTGCCCCCCGCCCGCTCTGTCTGCCTGTTCACTGTCCAGTGAGACTCAAGAAAGAATCCTACATCCCGTACAGTAAACTCGGGTAGAGCTTACACCCTGAGGATCTAGAAGTCCCTTTAACATTCCTAAGAAGTCATTGGCCTGGCAGCTCGCAGCAGAATGGCCTATTGTCACCTGCAGCCTGCGTTCTTTTCGCCACGAACACGTAATTGTTGGAGCTCTCGGATGGATGAAATAACTACAGCTGTTGAGATTGGTGGCCTCGTGGGGAGTCCTCTGCCCTTTCCTCTTCCCCAGATACTCCTCCTGGGGCCGGAGGGCTCATGGTTCGTGATTTTTCCACTCTCGCCCATCAGAAAGCAAGAGGGACTCAGCATGAATTTTGCATCTGGGAGAAAGAAGATCTCTGTTGCACCTGGGGCCACAATTACATTGAGTATTAAGTAGGGATTCTCTCTCTCCATTTTTTCAGGGTCTTTGGAAGCTCCCCAAGTTATTTTTGCCAGATCCAAACCCTTGGCCTCCCAATCTGGAGCCCTTGACACAGTTCTAGGATAGAGAAAATGGAAGTCGGTGAAGTCAGGGCCGATTTAAGGCCAAAGTAAGAGCCTCGTGTGTCTCAATCACTGTGTGGGCTTAGTGCTACAGCAAGAGCCTCCATCACGAAAAGTGCCCCAAGCAAGGAGGAAACTGGGAAGACATCTCTTCAATTCTGTGCGGCTTCAAAGTTGGCAACAGCTAGCTGGCTTCTGGAGGGCCTACCAGTAGGTGGCACTGTAGCAGTAAGGAATCTTCCTATTATTATTGTTATTATGTTTCAAGGCTTTTGTTTTAAAATAAGGGAAATTTGAGGAACATCAAAGAAAGAAACTAGAGCCAGAACCAAGTTCTCACCAATGCATTGTCACAGAATATACTGGAAAGCATTGTATTTGAAGGTCACGTTACAGTGGCCTCCGTCAAGACTGATGATTTTATTGAAGGCATGCATGCGAAGTACATAGTTTGCAAACTGGACTTCCAGATCATGGAAGGGAGGGAAGAAGTACATTTTTCTTTCTAAGTGAGGTTAGTGGATCGATTATGGTTTTTGTTGAGTTTTTTTAAAACGCACGCGCGCACACACTATAATCAGCCAGGAAAACCTACCATCAACCCCATGCAACTGCCCGTCCAACAGAAGCAGACCCGTTTACAGAAAGGCCGTGCCTCGCTCTTGTGGACTGCCCCCAAACTCCACCAGCACACTGTCCCAGCTGTGACCTAGACGAGCCTGTGAAACCTCAAGGCATTGAGGGGTTCTTTCCTCTTGCTCCACACTGAAGCACACCTGCCAGGAGCTTAATGCTCTTCTTGCCTCTAGGGGAATATTTATAAACTTATTTGGGAAGCATTATTCATCAGAATATCCCAGGAGAGTGAAGGAGAGAGGAAAAGTATTTATCCTCCACAGGATTCATTTACATTGGAGCAGAATGCTTCAAATAACCTTCCCTGGCCCCTCTCACTCTTTCCAGAAAGGAGTAAGAAGAGAGAAGGGAGCACCAAACCCGTGGGTTGGTCGCTTACCAAAAGGCACCAGAGGAAGTGCAAACAGTCCAAGTTCCATGGGCAAGACTTCGTCAAAGGGCCTTTAATTCTGGTTCTGAGCAGCCTGTTCAGCGATGCACGGCTAATAGAAAATAGAAAGCTAACTCGACGGGGTCAATATTTCCTTCAGGACGGGCAGCCAGAAGAATGACTGTGACATCAAGCTCCAAACCAAACTGCTGGCCTGCCAAGAAGCACTGCTGTCCGCCCGTTTCCAGGACTGCACCTCAGCCCTGCCGCGCAGTTGTGATACCACTGTCCTTGAACCTTCTGCATTTGCAGCCCCCATGTCCCGCCCTGAGCGGTGCATGCCCACACAGGCCCCCAGGAAAGAAACCTTGGGAGAGCGCCCAACGCTCAACATTTAGCCCTACTGGGCTGGACGGAGGCAGCAGGGATACTGTGGACT